AAGAGCCAAGCACTTAAAACATAATAGTTACTTAAAATTCAGCTTAGCTTTATGGTGATTTAGAGTTTGTTTAATTAGTATTTAGAACAGCACATTGTGTATAGCTATTGGTATTTCAATAGATGCTTAAATGTTTTTAACATTTAAAGTTTAATAAGCTTCAGTTCTTTGAAGAAAAACACTGATGTAATTAAATTTTCAATTACTCTAGTTTTTTTTAGGGGCCCAAACAATTAATAAAAGCTAAGGCATTTAGCTATGCTCATTTTAAAAACTAGTCAACCGCCTCATTATTTGGCTAACCCTTACACTAGGTATCATTTAATATAAAATGATCACCTGGGCAGAGTAGCAACTTTTCTGAAGTCCATATAATGACTTGGAGAATAAATAAAAGTAACTTTGTTTTATGATGATTTTGTGTGTACACATGAAGGTGTGGATAAAGTAAGGCTTTCTAAAAAACACCCCTATGCATTGATACTAAATATTATTTGGTTTTGATTGTGTGATCAAATTAGAACACTGAAGTCAGGGCTGGCACTGTGGCAGATTGGGTAAAGCCACCGCCTGCAGTGCTGGCATCCCATATGGGCACCAGTTCGAGTCTGAGCTGCTCCACTTCTCATCCAGCTCTCTGCTATGGCCTGGGAAAGCAGTAGAAGATGGCCTAAGTCCTTGGGCCCCTGCACCTGCATAGGAAACCAGGAAGAAGTTCCTGGCTCCTGGCTTCGGATCGGTGCAGCTCCAGCCATTATGGCCAATTGGGGAGTGAACCAGTGGATGAAAGACTCTGTCTCTGTCTCTGTCTCTCCGCCTCTCCTTCTCTCTGTAACTCTGCCTTTCAAATAAATAAATAAATCTAAAAAAAAAAAAAACAAAAAACAAACAAACAAAAAAAACACTGAGACCATTGCTCCTCATAGCTTGCTTAGCTTTAGGGCATTTTAGAGGATTCTGGCATTCAGGTTGAAAAAAGGAAATAGCAGAGGTAAACAGATTAGATAGTCTCACCTTAATAAAACACTAAATTATAAGTAGAATAAGTAAAAATTCTCCATTCTTACAACTTTGCTACTCAAAGATCAGCATCGGCATCAATATTTTCCTGGAGCTTGTGACACAGCTTTGTTTATTGGGATTCTCCAGAGAGGCAAAACATAAAATACATAAAAATACCTGAAGAGAAAGAGAGAGAGAGTGTGTGTGTGTGTATCATACCTCAGTGTCTGTGGCAGATTGGTTTCAGAAACCCCTATGGGTACCAAAATCCTTGGATGCTCAAGTCTCTCATATAAAATGGCGTAGTATTTGCATATAATCTACTCATACGTCCTGTATAGTTTAAATCATCTCCAGATTAATTATAACAACTAATATAATGTAAGTGCTACATAAAAAGTTGTTATAATGTATTGTTTAGGGAATAATGACAAGGAAAAAAGTCTGTACATGTTTAGCACAGACACTTTTTTTCCCAAACATATTTTTAACCTAAGTTTGGTTGAATCTGAGCATTTGGAACTTTTAGACCCAGAGTGCCAACTATACTTATATACACCCATACATACTTGTACATACATAGTTGTGTATATATATGTACGAATGTGGATTTACACAAGGGTACTTCAGAAATGTTCATAGAAAATGATATGAAAAGTGTATTTTGATGCAAAGAACATTTTGGAATCCAAGTATCATTTTTTCATCATATGCATTTCAATGAACTTTCTCAAGACCTTCCTCACATGTGGAGAGAGATCTATTATAAGGAATTCACTCAAGAAATTATGAAGAAGGCGAACTGCAGACTCAGTCACTGGGGAGTCTGAAGTGCTGAGTCAGGAGAGCCGATGGGGCAGGTGGTGTTCTAAGGCTAACAGGCTCAAGACTTGGGAAAAGTCAGTATTTCAGATGGAGTTCAAAGGCAGGGGGTAATCCAAGTTCCGGCTCGAAGGCAATAAGATAGGAGGGATTCGCTCTTACTTGTAGGAGGCTCATCCATTTGGTTCTATTCAGGCTCCCCCTGTAGGAAGGGCCATCTGCTTTTGTGAGTCTATTGATTTAAATGCTGATCTCACCCAGAAACACTCTCAGACAATCTCACAGACAATTGTGTTAATCAAATTTCTGGGCACCCTTTGCCCAGTTGAGTTGAGCCGTAAAATTAACAATCACAATTAGTACCATTCCTCTAAACTACTAGGTCAGAATCTGAGTTTTCTAACATTTCACATGTTTAGTGTGCACAGTAAAAACATGATCAATTTATCAGTCAGGAGCTAGGTTGCAGTCTGCTCTAGTGTGGGGGAAGAACCAGCAAGTAAATATTCAATTACAATCTCCTGGGATAAAGGGTGGTGTGTGATGTTTACTCACTGCTCTAAGAAGGGACTCTTTATCACACTGGTAAGGGGGCTGGCAAAGAAAGACAAACTTAGATCCTAAAAAACTGGCAAGAATTAAAGTGTTAGGGAAAGAAAAGCCCATCAAGGAGACCAGGAAGAAAAGTAGAAAAGCCAGGGGACTGTAGTATCCTGCAAAGAAGAGAAGAGGGGGGCCCAGTGCGTGGTGTAGGGAGTAAAGTTACCTCCTGCAGTGTCTGCATCCCACAGGGAGCTGGTTCCAGTCCTAGCTGCTCCACTTCCAATCCACCTCCCTGCTAATGCGTCTGGGAAAGCAGTGGACGATGGCCCTGGGACTTGGGTCCCTGCCACTTATGTGGGAGGCCCGGAAGAAGCTCCTGGCCCCTGGCTTCAGCCTGCTCCAGCCCTGGTTGTTGTGGCCATTTGGGGAGTAAACCATCAGATGGATGATCTCCCTCCTCTCTGTAACTCTGCTTTTTCAAATAAATAAATAAATCCTTAAAAAGAGAGAGTGAGAGAGAAGAGGGATTTCCTAAGAATAATCAACAGTTTCAGTGCTTCTACTTACAGATATCTCAATATACTGGCACCATGTTTTATAGATTGGGGGACTAAATATTGTTTAAAATGAGTCAATGAATAAATGCATATTTACCTAAGTGCTAATCAAGTGAAAACCAGGATATCAATAAAAAGCATTTAACACTCATCCTCAGGTTCAGTTATCATATCAAAGAAACATCCATATTTGAAACTAAATTTGGGGGCCAGCGCTGTGGTACAGTGGGTTAAAGCCCTGGCCTGAGGCGCCAGCATCCCATATGGGTGCTGGTTCTGGTCCTGGCTGCTCCTCTTCAGATCCAACTCTCTGCTGTGGCCTGGGAGGGCAGTGGAGGATGGCCCAAGTCCTTGGGCCCCTGCATCCATGTGGGAGACCAAAAAGAAGCTCCTGGCTCATGGCTTCCGATCTGCACAGCTCCGGCTGTTGTGGCCATCTGGGGAGTGAACCGTTGGATGGAAGACCTTTCTCTCTCTCTCTCTCTGCCTCTCCTCTCTCTGTGTAACTCTGACTTTCAAATAAATAAAATAAATATTTTAAAAAATAAATTTGAACATATAAACATATGTATGATGAATGTCTAACTCAAAATCAACAAAAAAATAAAGTTAACTTTTAGATATGAATCATATATCAGTCTGTATTTTAGTATTCACTTTTCTGAAACTACCCCCATATCTGCAACTGGTATGAGTCATTGTACCCAGAAGATACACAAAATATAAATAAACAAAAAGTGTTCCAGAGGCCAGCCATTGGTCTCTGCTCCCTCCCCAAACCGTATTAATAGGATGGCAAAAATAATAAAAATCTTCAGCCTGTCAAGGATAAAGAATCCAGAAGGGGAGATGATGATGGACAGATAATGCCAATAGAATTGACAGATGGAAAGCTTAACAGATAATAGGCAGCTGACTTAGGAAACCAAAGGTAGAAGCCAAAAATAAATAAAATAAAAATAATGAAAACTAACAGCTACAGAGGAAGAAGCCAACAAGAAGCAAACAGACATCAATGACAGAACCCTAGAAACTTGTAGCAAAGGAGAGCACCAGGGCCCTCAGGAGTCACCAGCACCACCAAAGGCAGCAAGAAAACCTGAGGGACAAGATGGACATAGCCTGACAGACTTCCTCCCCAAACCCAATCATGTGCCAATCCCCCCCAACCCCAGCCAGAAGACTGGGAGCTGACTCTCGGAGGAAACTCAGGCAGAGAGACTTTGCAGGCAACGCTACCTTTAGGAAGGAGTAACTGGAAGTCATCAAATACACTGAACAGGGAGCCAAAGCCCCGCATCCCAGTGCTCATTCCACCTGTTCAGCTTCACAGCTGTCTTGCCCAGCTCAGCTCCAACAACACTGCAACCAAACTTACTCTGCTCTTGTGCCCTAAAATAGAATGTAGAGGATCTCTCCCAGGGCATGTGGAAGACAGAGAAAAGACCTACAGATGCAGATTGCTGGTAATCCTCCAGTGAAGAGGCCCCAGGCTACAGAGAAACCCACCTTTATTAAACACGATTATAAGTCACTTTCAAGGGCCTCATTCTTAAAACCAAACAGCCAAGGATCACGTACTTTTGAGGAGAATCTCCCACATGAAAAACAAATTCACAGGCAAAAAATGCAAAGAGGAACTTGGGGGGTAATAGACAAAAGGCTGGGAATGAAAGAAGTCTAAAAATAAGAGAATGAGAGAAGGAAAGAAAAGGAAGAAGGGAGGGAAGGAGAAGGAAAGGAGGGAGGGAGGGAGGAAGGCTCCTCTGCAAAACAAAAGGAACCATGGCCTCTTGCAAGAACAGGATATTGTAAAAAAGAAGAAGAA